CTCGGTGAATTTGTTACCACTTAGCCGATTTTTTCTCTCGGCTACACCGTTTTGTTGATGTGTATCAACACAGGTGGTCTAATTAATAATTCAGTGTTCTTCCAAATAATCCTTCAGTTCAGACTTCTGATATTCCCCACCGTTATCACTGCGAAGAACTTGGACATATGCATTATATTGAGTTTTAATGAATCTGTGAAACTTTTGAAACAACAAATTCACTTCACTTTTGGATTTGATGAGCCACAACCATGTCATTCTGGTACAATCGTCAATGAATGTAACAAACCAACGAGAGCCACCCGAAGTTGGAATTTTAGATGGCCCCCATACGTCAGAGTGAACAACCATAAAAGGCAATGGACTTTTGTTTAATATTGATGGAAATGAAGTTCGATGACTCTTTGCAAATTCGCATACATCACAATGAAAATTGGAAACATCGATTCTTTCAAACAAACTAGGAAATAACCTTTTTAAATATCCAAAAGATGCATGTCCCAACCGTTGGTGCTGCAACCAGATTTCTTCTTAGTTCTTTTCCACACTAGAGTCCTTCACTGCCAAGACTTGATTCAACTTGTCTGTAGTTTCTGACTTTAGGTCCAAGTAGTACAGGTTCACTCGCTTAATACCACAACCAATCGTCTGCTTTGTTTGGATGTCCTTAAAGAGACAAAAATTAGGCCAAAAAATTACAATACAAGATAAAGTTGTTGTAGTTTGAGAGACAAATAAGAGCTTGTAGTCTAAGGAAGGAACAACTAAAACAGAGTCCAAGTTTAAAGTATCAGTGAGATTTAAAGACCCTTCTCCAACGATTGGGGCCTCATCACCATTTGCGGTTGAGACAAATTTTTGTAAAGAGGGTTTAACTTTAGCAACCCGTTTAGAATCAAATGTCATATGATTTGTAGCACCTGAATCAATTATCCATGTGTTATTACTAACAGGTGTAGAAACATAAAAAGTCTTACCACCATTACCCACAGTAGCTATCATTGCTGAAGTTGTATCAATCGCATCTTCTTTTGTTTTTTGTTTCAACAGCAGCAACAGTATGTTGAGTCTTCTTCGTATTTCTCTTTCGAGGTGCTCGATTATGATCCCACCAATCTGGATATCCCACAAGTTCATAGCAACGCTCTTTGGTATGTCCAGACTGATTGCAATGGGTACATTTGTAGGTAGATTTTTTAGCACCATTGTTTGTTTTTAGCTTATTTCGACTCACCATGGCTGTAGCTTCAGAGTTTTCAGACTCTCCTTTGAATGTAACACGCCGATTGGCTTCTCGTCGGAAAGCATAACATTCTTCCAGATTTAGGATTGATTCTTTGCGTAGAATATCTCCACGAACCTGTTCGAAACAATCATCAAGTCCAGCAAGGAATATATGCACTCTCAGTCTTTCAATAGACCTTTGGTACGCTTCAACATCATCCGGATCCTTCATGACCACCTTATCTCGATGGTCCAATTCTTGAAAGATTTCAATCAGTTCACCATAATATTCAGAGAGAGACCTTCCATTCTGTTTGGCAATAAATGCCCTTTGATTCAAGGCAAAAATTTGCAACTCGTCACTCCCATCATAAAATGCTTTTGACAAAGCAGTCCAGATTGCATGAGCAGTAGGTACGCGAACATATCGTTTCATAATCTCTGGTGTCATGGACATCAACAGCCACCTCTTAACTTTTTGATTTTCTGCATACCACTTTTCATACCCTTCTTCTGATTCTGCAGGTGGCTTCGGTTTGCCCCGAATATAGGAAAGTTTCTCCCTTTCAACGATATGCATTTCCATCAATTGTCACCAGATATCATAATTCGATTCAGTGAGAATAATGCCGGCATTAAACGCACCTTCAGACTGAACCACAACATGGATGAGATTGTTCTTTGATGTTTCAGTTTGATCACTCATTGTGTATAACAGATTCAAGAACTCAGACTTTTAGAGAGCCTAGGCTCTGATTCCAAGTTAAAAATATGAGAGAATTCAATATTTCTATTTTATTTTTCTTTTCAAAGACTGTACAAGAGTTTATACTATACAATGAGGCGTAAACATAGGACCAAGAATAGAAACTAATTAACACCTAATTTCCTAGCTATAAGTCAGAGATATGATTGCTCCATATTAAGGAAACTAAATATTTCACAACCTGTACAAGAATATTTCAACATACCCGACCATTTGGCAGAGACCCTCCAGCCCATACTTTGCTGGAAAATCTCATCTCTTGCTAACACATATCAATCCACAAGTTTAAACCAACTCTCTTGCTACACATTTATCAATCTATAATCAATTTCAAACACAAATAAACACATATCTTTATATAATTATTACATTTATAACAAATCTTTAACAAAAACGTAACATTTAATTCACTTACTAAAAATCCAACAATAATCAAGTCACAATAGCATTTCAAACATAAACATCATAGCATTTCAAACATAAACATAATATGAAGTATATCAAAATTTAACAAATATTTAGAACTCTCTTTCCTCTCCCTCTCCCTCTCCCTCTGCTTCTTCTTCCTCTCCCCTTCCCTGTTCACCTTCAACATGAGCTCAGATGATCTCAACGTCTGGTTGTGTGTAAACTTGTGAGCGCATGACATCCTCGTCGACTTGAACCTGTTATGAACATCTGGCTTGAGCTTGCTGTGAGCCTTCAACTTCATCATGTGCACGACTTGAGCCTACTCTCGTGTGTCCTCGGACCCGTCGATGCTCGTACCCTATGAGTCGTTTCTCACGTCCATCACGATTCGCATTACGCGTCATTCCAAAAGCAGACTGAATCTTTCCTATGATGAGAACAAACGCGTTCCTTGCCCCTGGCTTGGTAGTCGTCCTCAATGCAACATGTGCAATAGAAGCAACCTCATCGAGTTCTTGTACCTATAAGATAAAAAGCGAAAGATGATTATTAGCAAGTGGATGATAATAAAATAATAATCACAAAATAATTGTATATTTTACCTACACACTTACCAACATTCTCTCAACTGGACCTCTCGGTATGTACTCTTAGGTGCTTTGTTCTTCCGAAATATCCATCGGCGAGTAATCCCCCAATACCACCATAAGTATACATCTAGTTCTAGTGCGTCAATCCTCTCCATTACTACAACATCCTCCCTTAACTCCCAATTCTTAATGTAAGCATGACGAACTATCTCCTAATTTGCATGATGTGCTCCTTTTCGGGGATTTCGCTCTATTCTTTCTACAGTATCTGGAATATGTTGTTTTAATCCAAATTGTCGGAGCACACAGTTAGGCACGTGCATTTTGATAATCTCAAAACATATAATTGGTACTCGAGCACGCCATATATCTTCACATTCTCTGTAAATATCTGATAGTGAAGCTAAAACCAGTTCATAGGGCATCCACTTGACCTATAAAGAATATTATGTAAATTTATATATCAATAACGAATGATGTATTGATTGAATATTTTCAGTCACAAATTGCATGCTATCAATTGGTGCACTATCTTGCTCTTCACCTTCAAAGTTGTTGATTCTTTCATCCTCTTCAATTGTAACGGCCTCATATTTTCATAAGAGACTTTATTGTTCATGACATTTGACGTTCCCCCGAATGAAGGTGCACTTAGATATTGAAATTGAGTCCGCTCCATTTTACTCGAAAAAGAAAGAAAACCATCAGACTCAACTCCTAAATCTAACATGCGTGAGAATTCTCCTAGAGGTTTGAATATTTAGCACGAACTATATGGCAACTTTTCAATAAATAATTCTACAGTTGGTTGCGACTTGCTCAAATTAAACATAATACTCATATGATGATCGTTTGAGATCTCAACTGCGACCGTTCTATCAAAAGTTATGGTCAATTGCATATTATTTTTAGTCAATATTCTCGTGGGTCAATTTTCGTAACTTGATGTAATTCGTTAATCAAGTCACAGTAACTATATGATTCCGAGATCATTAACGGCTTCGTTACCTCTCCGACGTACATTGGCATATTATTCATTACATAATTAATTTTTCCACCATAAGAGCAAGCAATAAAAATCATATTGTTCAACGTATGCGAAAGAAGATTATATCATTTAAATATAAAAAATTTAAAAAAATTTATCAGGGCATTAAATAAGAGAGGAAAACCCAAGATACAAATAATCTCATATAATTTTGATCAAAAACCCTAAACCCCAAAATGAAAATCCTAAACCCTAGAAATGAGCATTTTATGCCCTAGAAGTTTAATTTCAATTACAACAACCAACACACAAAACATTCGAATCACTACAAATATAGTGATTGATAATAAATTTTAAACCCTAGAAATTGGATTTTGATAGAAAACCCTAGATTTTTACATGTTAAAAGAGGAGAAAAGAAATAGAAATTACTCTAGAGATCTTAAGCAAACTTTCACGACGAATTTCGGCCACAAAATAGAGTTGGGAGAAGTTGAAAGACGACTAAACGAGAGAGACCGGAGTTGGAGATGAGAAAAATCACAATTTGGAGGAAGAAATGGGTCCATTCACTATATATAAGGAGGAGGGTACCCACCAGAAATAGTCAGGTTGGGGGGTTGTTGCGAGTCTCTGCCAAATGGTTGGGGTTGAGAACCTTGACCATTTAGACTTTGCGCTTCGAAATGGTCTGAGTTTCTAACTCCGATCATTTTGTGCAATCACTAAATTAGTCGGGGTTTCGAACCCTGACTTGTTTAGTTGCCTAACCACCAAAGGGCTGTAGCTTGTAGGCTATGTCTTAATTAGTCGGAGTTGGCAACCCAACTAACTAGGACCGTGATTTTTTTTAAAACGACCCACTTTCTGACCACGAAGCTGACGTGACGAGAAAGTGAGTCAATTTTGATAAATAACTTTGGATAAGATCGATGTTGGGATTAAAATTTTGAATGATTATATTTTAAAAAATTCTTCAAAGAATAAACTTTTCGTCATCCCTATTATTTGTCCCTTATTATTATTATTTTTTAACATTAAACAAACCTCAAACTTTTATTCCCATGTTGAAGTCGACGACTCCGATCTAGCGCCGTTCTCCTCCTCTCCTCGATCTTCCCCTCAAACCCTAGAAACTCGATGTCATCCGCAGACGAAACGTCAGGCGGCGGATCGAACCCATCATTGGCGGACAAGAAGAAGGAGAAATCTAGGGTTAGCAGGACCTCGCTGATCCTCTGGCACACTCACCAAAACGACGCCTCGGCGGTGAGGAAACTGCTGGAGGAGGATAAGGAGCTCGTGAGGGCGAGGGATTACGATAGCAGGACGCCGCTTCACGTGGCGTCGCTTCACGGTTGGATCGAGGTTGCGAAGTGCTTGCTTGAGTATCGGGCCGATGTCAATGCGCAGGATCGGTGGAAGAATACGGTAAGGATTGTTGAACTGAATGCGGCTGATGTGTTTGATGATATGCTTGTTTGGTGAAATTGCTCAATTTTTTGATTTGTTTATAACATGAGCGTTTGAATTTGGTAATCAATGAGTAATGTACCATGTTATTGGTATAGCTAGTTAGTTACCAGGTTGGGGTTAGTTGGTGAAGCAAATTGTACAGGACAAACGAGCTAAATAGAATTCTAGTTAGTTACCAGGTTGGGGTTAGTTGGTGAAGCAAATTGTACAGGACAAACGAGCTAAATAGAATTCTAATGCTCAAAGAATGCATAGAAAGTATAAAATTATTTGAAATGAAATTCTTTAGAGGTTGGATGGAGTTATAACCTTTAAATTGTGGAGGATAGTAGATGGAACGATCTCTACTTAGCTTTAGAAATCGGAGAAGCGCACATGTTGGTATTGCCATCACCACCTTGAGCTTGTTGTTGGTTATATATGCACATACGTATTATCTTTTATACGCAAAGATGTCGGTTTGTTGAATCAGAAACTAAACGGGTTTATTCTTTGTTGACATTGTGTCTTTATACGCAAAGATGTCGGTTTGTTGAATCAGAAACTAAACGGGTTTATTCTTTGTTGACATTGTGTCGCACTCTTTTTTGTTGAAGAGTAAACAAAATAAGTATACCTAGGTAGACCCTTTGAGGTGGTTTTAGTTTAATTTGTTTCATTGGATACTTCTGAAACCTGCGGAACGTGATTCCTTATTTATCCAGTTTCTGCCTATAAAGTTTATTAGATGTTTTCTAAAATAGTTGATTGAATATTGCAATGGAATGCATATCAATTGCTTGTCAAGTTAATTTGCATAATTTTGAAACTTGTAAAGATAAATATATGGCATGCCATTTTCTTAGGATGAATTGTCTCCCTACAAATAGAATGGCTAATTTTCTGCAAGATATAACACTTACCTCCCCAAGTACAGAGTGGCTAATTTGCTTGGAGATTTAACACTTTGCAGTTTCTGGTTTTGCCCACCCTTGCATTCATTTATCTGATGTTTGATGAATGCTTTGACCGCTCAATGCCTTGTTTTGACCTGCATTTAGATTTAGATCTTTTAGTTTTATAGGAACAGCATGATTTTTCTCAAGTATCATTAGTTCTAGTGGGCTGCACTAATCCTAAAGAATAGATCCTGATGGTTTAGAAACTTAGACCTTCGCAGGTAGCTCAATCAGTGCGGTGAATTTATTGATGGATAAAAATAGAAGTCTTCTGTTCTAAGCGGTTCAATCCTCTCCAGTAGTATAAGAAAGGCTATCCATGGATCAACATTGAAGAGTGCCCATGCAGGGAAAAGTAGCTTTTCTAGATGGTATTAACATGATATCAAATGATCTGTGCTCAACCAGGTATAGCCACCTAGTATGTGCTAGTCTTGTTCTCATGAGCTTTAACATGTTTGCATGTATGAATTATAAAATACAGTTGTTTCCCTTTGAGATCTTTTTTTATAGTGACAAACTTATTTCATTCAGACTTCAAATCATTAAGTACAGTCCCCTTTGAGAACTTTTGGAAGCCCCTTACATCAGAAAATCCAACACCTCATCAAGCATCTAACAATCTCAAATCCATGTCAGGTTCAAATCTTTTTTTTTTTTTTTTGGCTAGAACTTAACGAGGAGATGCTTCCAAATTGTCTCACATATTCCCACTTCACCTTTGATTTCTACATGTGTCCCATTATTCAGTGCAAGCCATGTTGTTCTGGTAGCCATAGCCATAATGATTTGGCATTCTAGGTTATTCTGTTGTATTTTCAAGGCACAAAACTCCAGGTTTCAACCTAATGTTATGAATAAAACGCAACCAAAATCAAGCCTATGAAATTTCAAATTTTGGAAGACAAGTACAGATGCATTTATAATGATGCACCTTCTTTGAAAACAAATAATCACAACAGATCATATATGGTCATGTATCAAACCACTTATTGGTTGTTTCTTCATAATCACATACCTTTTGATTATTTTTCACTCTATGTTAGATGTCCCCTTTACGGTGTTCTTGGCTTAAACTCCCTAGCAGAAATTTTCATATTACGTGTTTCACATTTTCAATGGCGGAGAACATCCTAGTTGCAACTTTCTGCTTAATTTTTTTAATTTAAATTTACCCATTGCAGCCACTAGCTGATGCAGAAGGGGCTAAAAAGCATGGCATGATCGAGTTGTTAAAATCATATGGTGGATTGTCCTATGTAAGTTTCTTATGACTACAGATGGTTTTATATATTCTCCAGATTGATAAAAGTTATGTTCATGTTGAAATCTGCTTTGGTTTACATTATCCAAGGGTTTATTTAATACTCTGGGTGCCTGTGTTCGTATTAATGTATAATTTGACTTATTCAACAGAGTTTGTCAGCTATAAGTGAATTGAAAATGGATATATGCTTCACACATGGAATCATAAAATAAAACCATTGACATATTGTTTCATCTATAATCTGTACAAATTCTAATTGTCGTTTTTTTCCTGTTAATACAACAATCTGTAGGAGTTCATTCTCATATCCAACATTATGTCTATCTGACATAATCTTAACTATGGTTATCAGTTTAAATAATTTTAATTATGATTACCCTTTTTTAGGCTTTACGTACTGGACAACTGTAGAAAGAAAGGGCATCATTTTGTTTAATGTATTTAATATTGAAATGAAAATAAAGAAATTCCTCTTAATTTCAAATATGGAAAGCTTCTCAGAAGGATTAAGTAATAGCAGAGATAGCGACACATATCTATAATTGGATGACACGTCTATAATTGCCTGCATTGTGACGTAGTTGTCCTTCATCTGATCACACTTCATGCATTTGGCACACTGTGAACTTAGAAAAAGTGTATTTTCAAAGATATGATACATGCAGACTGCATAGTCCTCTAGATAAACCAAAGGATGCCTTCTTTAACCCCTTTGATAAGGTTTTTCTCTGATTCTAAATGAGAGTTACCATAAGTTGTTTGATACTAATACGCACATGCGCACACATCAACAATTGCAAAAGAGGATTTAGTGCAGTGACGAGGTTGTTTATATGCTCGGAAGAGAGAATGGAATAGATTTTTGGAATAAACCTCAGCGTGTCCTATGTGGATCCCTTGCAGAAGATGCCAGATAGAATTATTTTACAGTTTGTACTTGGAGAATAAAAAAAGAAAATGGAGACATATTAAAAGTTGAGACATGCCATTTTAATTTTTTTATTTGGAAATAATTTGTATTTTCTGATACCTAGTCTTCAGTTTCGTTTCTGCATCTGGAAGAGGTCCCTCACGTGGAAAATAAATACCCAAAGTCCTGAATGAAGTACCAGAATGCACTTGAAACACTTCAGATTGTGTGGAGGAGGGATCAGAGACTTTGATCTTAAACAAACAACCTGTAATATTTCCTAGAAATCACTGATGAAGTTTGTGTGAGGAAGCTTTGGTCTTTGATCTAGATGTACCAAGTTAAATGAGACCTGCTAAAAGTACCCATATCCAGTGCAGATATAGGTGCCTGTTAAACGTGAACAAATTGGAACCTTGCAATGCCTCCTTTGTGTTGCATATACATCTTGGTTGTCTTTATTCCATTCATAATATGGTATTTACCAGTAGATGCAAGTGAACCAGTTTCTCTGTGCATTACGAAATATTTTATCTTCTATATCTCAACAGCTTATAAGCTGCCAGAGAGGCAGATTTTCAGTTAGTAGTACTCTATTTCATGTATATCTTTTAGATTCCTTTGGACTATCAATTATTTCTTCTTTTACCATTTCCATTGTTCAACATTTTTGAACTGCAATGTGGTAGATGTATTGGATTTGGACCATTTGGTAATTCAGTGCCAGTAACGTTTGAATTCATTTTAATTGAACTGCTCTTTTCTTGTGACCTTAAGCCTTGACCAAGTACCTCTATTTATGACAGGGTCAAAATGGCAGCCATTTCGAACCAAAGCCAGTTTCGCCTCCTCTTCCTAATAAATGTGATTGGGAGATTGAGCCATCCGAGTTGGATTTCTCAACCGCGGTTATTGTTGGGAAGGTTTGTATTTGGATGTGAATTGCTTTTAAATATTTTTCTTTTTGATCATGTGTATCTCGTTCAATATGTGTTGTATAAACTATAATTGAACAAACTCACTAGCTGGGATTCCTTTGTATCTATCAAACTCATAAGAATAGTGGGGTCATGAAGTTCCTTGGTATCTATCAAACTCACGAGAGTAGTGGGTTACGAAATTCCTTTCTATCTATTAAATTTACAATAGTTGAGAGATTCAACTGGATACTAGGTTAAAAAAACTACTTGGTGCTGCAGGGTTCATTTGGTGAGATTGTAAGGGCCTCTTGGCGTGGAACGCCTGTAGCAGTAAAACGCATTCTTCCATCATTATCAGATGATAAATTAGTGATGTAAGTTTATTATATTTATCATGCTTCAGGATACATTATATTCATCTAACTGTTTTTTTTTTTTCAAAACTAAAGTAGGACCATCTACATTTATCAGGAACAATGAGGCAATCCAATATTTGAATAAATGCATATACTAATTGACAGCTGGAAAATCATTTTAATCACACTGCTGACTCACCTTTATACAATTACTCAATGTGTCCAACACAGTTTCCCACTAAGAGTTATTTTCTCGTAAAGTATCATTATCATAGTCTATAGTCAAGATTCAGAATTAGGATATATTAAATTTAGGATCTTCTGGACATACTAAATTTCTTCAATATCTGTAGCTGATGTAATAATAGAAGTAAGAGTAAGGAAGGAGGAGGACAAGAATAAAAGGGTGGCATGGAGGTAAACAAAGATCTACTATTCATGCAAATAACATTTCTTTCTTTATTGACCTTTATTGTTTAAAACCTTAGATATGCTTTTCACAAGGCAAAGAAGATGAAACCTACCCAAATGTTTTCTTTTTTTTGGGGGGGTGGTGGTGGTGGGGGGGGAGGGGAGTTGACATGTTACTATGTTAGTTTCTATAAGGAATGCCAATAGTATAACTAACAAGGACTCCTTTGAGTCCTTAGTCATCCTGAATATCCTAAGGATCTAAAGCACTTTGCATGGTACTCCTTTGGGAAATTTCCATATGGATCCAGTGATTTCTTAAAAGTTAAAACTAGTCATTTAAGATTTTTTGTGTCAGTTTGGTCTGTTTCTTATCTAGAAACAAATACTACTAATTTATTCCAAAATTTTAATTTGCCATACACTACTATTTTGCCTCGTCTCTTAGAAGAGTTATTCAAAGAGGCATACAAACTGTGTAAGTGACAGGTAACCTTATAAATTTGATAAAGTTAGCGAAGTTTGCTGATTGCATCAGTTGCTTCAGTTGTGAAGAACCCACCAATAAGTCTACTATTCTATTCTTTTCATATCTCATTGCCAAGTATCTAGTATTTGGTGAAGTTCATTGCATTGTCAGATAGTGCAAAACGCACCCCCCCCCCCCCCCCCCCCCAAACAACAACAACAACACACACACACAAAGAGAGAGAGAGAACAAACACACGGACACACACGCAAAGAATAACACCATTAGATGTGATTGTGCATTTGAAAATCATCTGCTCCCAAATAACCAAAATGCCTCCTACAGAAAACCCCCTTTCATATCCTTTTAATAATTTTAAATGTAACTTTCAGAAAACCCCTTAACTTGGTCCAACTTAGGGATTTGTTTAATTCAATTGACAATTAATTTAATTTAATTTATTAATTGGTGTTAATTTGAAAGGACATTTTGGTTTTTTTAACCGGTTCATCAAATACTGTTATGGTGGTGGGGCTGGGTTGTTGAAAATTTTGAAAATGTTTGTTGGGAGGTTCTCCTTTTTTTCTTTTTTTTTGGGGGGGTTAACACTCCAAACTTAACAGTGGTTAAGTGACATTTTCAAAGTTTATGGGGATATCTTGAAATTGGCCGAACTTAAAGGGGGTTTTGTGAAATTTGCCCTTTTCATGTAGTTGTGTCCATAAGCATCATGAAAGGTTGGGTTGGTGACAATTTTATTGGAGCGAAATGATGTCAACTTTTATAATTAATGGATGAATGCACATCTGGAGCCAGCCAATAAATCACTGCGAGGGAAAACTACAAAGCAAAAGGGAGGGGAAAATAAAGAAAAGGAGGAAGAAGAAGATATTGCAGGTCGTTTTTGGCATCAAGTTGCCCTGGATTCTAATATCGTTTCAGTTTTCGAAGTGGTCTGATATGCTCCTGAGACAGTTCAGTGTACAACTACAAATCAAAATCGACTTCAATTAACTAATTTAGTTGGAAGAGGAGGCTCAGTGGTTGGGTCGACAACTACAAATCAAAATCGACTTCAATTAACTAATTTAGTTGGAAGAGGAGGCTCAGTGGTTGGGTCGATTCGGTCCTAGTATGAAACGGCAAGAATAGGTGTGATGAGTAACATAGGTTCAGGAATGAATTTTTGTTGGTATGCCGTGAAGTATCTGTAAATATGATTTGGGATTGATGCAGCGTAGAGCATGTCTTTACATTTCATGAACCTTTCCATGATAGAAGAAAAAGGCGATGAAGGTGATGGGGGTGACAAAAGCTGATTTGATCTAGAATCAAGATGACTATGAAGGCACGGGACAGCAAGGACATAACATGGTAGATTCCAAGAGTAGGATTCAGGGAAAAATTAATGTGGTATAAGGAGTTCTGATGCAAGGACGAGGCACGCAGAAGGATGCAATACGTGTATAACAACTTGCAGTTTCTTAAAATTTAGTGTCAAGCAACATGATAATTTATTATGCTTGTATTAGAAAAAGCTTTGTAATGCCTTGTTAAAACATTGTTTTTGTGTAAACAATGCAGAGAATCTTCACTTATATTTCAGTAAAAAATTATTCCAGTGTGAACAATTTTATTGAACTAAAAAAATCTTTTCAAGAGGTAAACATATTTATATTATTCAGACAGACTGATGGTATTATAGATTACTACAATTTATTATTTTCTAACTTTCTTTCGTATCCGAAGGACTACTTATATAATATTTTTTTCTGAATTAACTAGCATAAAGACCAAAATAGTTGGCCGAACCCTTAACTAAATGAAAGCCATACAAAGTAAAGGCCATTACACTGCTAACGCAGATATGCCAATACAATGGCGCTTCTGGCTTCAGCGTAATTGAAATCAAGTTCTGCTTTAAATATAATTTTCTTGTCTTTTAATTTTTTCATTAAATCCTGACCGCTCAAATTATAATGTGAATTATCTTGTTATTGTAGAACATTGTACCTATTGTAATATTTCCTACTGCTTTGGTATGTTCAGTTTATTCATTGTCATTTCATTTTGAAAAACCAAGCATGGAGCTAAATATGTACTACCTTACTTATACTATAGGAAATTTAATCTATTTATATGCCAACTTATCTATTTTTATTCTGATTCAGCCAGGACTTCAGGCACGAGGTCAATTTGCTAGTGAAGTTGAGGCATCCAAATATTGTTCAATTCCTTGGAGCAGTAACAGATAGGAAACCTTTAATGCTAATTACAGAATTCCTGCGTGGAGTATGAATTCTGATCCCTATTCAACCTAGTTCGTTGTAGTCAGAAGAAACATACTTCTAAACATGTCTTCACCACTGAACACGATTTGTTTTTAGGGCGACCTTCATCAGTTCCTAAAGGAGAAGGGTTCACTGAGTCCTTCAACAGCTGTCAATTTTGCACTAGACATTGCTAGGTATTAATGGGTGAAATCTTCAAATAAATGTTTGGTTTCTCATCACTTTATGCTTCACATTATAAGTATATGACTGATTTTGAGAATTCAAAGTTATAATTGTATATCACTGGATTGAACTTTTTTAGCCTTTTGCCTATAGTTGATGTCTACCCTACATAATTGCATGTTTAAGTCCATAGTATATTTCCATATTCACAGTCATAGTGGAACCTGTTGCAAGTGATAGGTTCCGATATGACATGCTGCAAGTGATAGGCTCTATTATGACATGATTATTATTCTTTTTCAAAATTAAAAAATATGGTCAATAAAAGGAAGTTTGGAAGTGAGAAAATGTGAGAATATAAGAACTATTTGCTATATGTTTCAGATTTTCTTAGTTCCTTGCGCTTCTTTTTCATCAGAGAATATATGGGATATTGTGAATCAAATGAAATCAAGCAAAGCTTTGCTGAACTCAGCATACAAAAATAATTTTGTGTCTAGGAGAAGAAGTAAAATCATTCAAGTTTAAACTTTATAACCATATTTGTCATTGATGTATACTTGTCATTATCTTTTTAGATTAACTTTATTAAAATTTAATTTATTCTAAGGTGATATTTATTCCCCACGTCCTTTTATTTTTGACTAAGCTACCTATCATCTTGAGTCAGCTCTAGCATCTGTGCAATGGTTAGTATGGGCATTAATATATTGGTATTGCTGTCCAACACGTGTAAAATGCTGACACATTGGTCATTTTTAAATAAAAGAAAAAGATGTGAAAGCATGTTGGCTTAAAAAAATCATTTTCATCTCAAGCATGATGACGTCTTCTCTGGCCTATGTAAATGGAAACAACTCTTTCACATATATTACATCTTTCACACGATAGACCTCTTAATGGACGTGTATTAGATCACATATGGAATTGTACTTTTAGATATCTATTTTTGGTTTGCAATCAGTATCCATTTGCAAGGTGTATTTTGTTTCTCGTCCTACTTTTGCAAAACATTTCCTGCCAAAAAGTGTAGGTTTATGATCAGTATCTATTCAGTGAGGTCTTTTTTTAGTCTTGATATGACTTGTTATAAAGCACTTCCAAGCACTTCCAAATGGACTTGTTATAAAGAACAGTATCTGTAAACTACTTCAACATGAATAGCAAGTGGCTTAAACTTTTACCATTCAATCCTAGATAGTCTTTAGTTGATAATGTTGTTTCCTTTGGAATTAATTTTGATGACCAATTATAAACTTTGAGTTTGTCCTAAAACTGAAGTTCTCATTTCTGTTTTTTTTTCTTATTTATTTTCACGAGTATACAGGGGAATGGCATATCTTCATAACGAGCCGAATGTTATAATTCATCGTGATCTAAAGCCAAGGTAACTTGAACTGCTAATTTTCATTTCATTTTGATATGAATAAACTTCAATTGCTAGTTTTTATTTGATGTTGATGTGAAAAGTTCATTTGGTAAAAATTTCTTTCAGGAACGTCCTTTTGGTGAACTCGAATGCTGATCATTTGAAGGTTGGAGATTTTGGGTTAAGCAAGCTTATTAAAGTCCAAAACTCCCATGATGTATATAAAATGACTGGAGAGACTGGAAGTTGTGAGTATAAAATATATTTCCTTCAAAAGAAAAATGAGTGTTGCACTTTAAACTAATTGTTATTTCTTTCTGAGAACGAAAGACCGATACATGGCACCAGAAGTATTCAGACACAGGAAATATGACAAGAAAGTTGATGTCTTCTCATTTGCCATGATATTGTATGAGGTAGTTTGATTTTTCTAATAGCATTCCAGTTTATCATGTAGGTTACAATGCTTGTTGACTCATTCGTTATATTTAATTTTAGATGCTTGAAGGAGACCCTCCATTAGCAAACTATGAACCTTATGAAGCTGCTAAGTATGTTTCAGAGGGGCACCGGCCAACATTTCGTGCAAAAGGATTTATTACTGAATTGAGGGAGTGAGTAGAAGTTAGCTATAATTATTTTCACCTTCCAGAGTGGTGTTATTTTACCTCTGTCATGCTTTCTTAATACCTTTCTGCTGAAAAAAGCATGTCTTGTGACTGTTGTTTCTTTCTCGTTTGATGTGCGTGCATCTGGTTCCATTTCAGTCTTAGTCAAGAAAAACTTAACCTAAACAGTCGCGTTTGTGTATTTAATTGCATAGCCTTGTTTGTTGCTGATCTCTCTTAGGTTGACGGATCAGTGTTGGTCTCAAGATATGCACCAGAGGCCTTCTTTTATTGAGATTCTCAGGAGGCTAGAGAAAATCAAGGAAAACCTGTCACCAGATCATCACTGGCACCTATTTCCTCAGTAGTAGCCAGTTTCATTGCTCAATGCCTCTCCTGCATGAACTCCACAACACTTGTATAATTGGATATAACCGCTTGCTTCTTAATCATGAAGTGATTAGAAAGCTGAAAGTTGCAGATATTATCGCTCTCTTGTTTGTTGTTGGAGATGATAGACCATATAGCACGAAAGCAACTCCTCATATGTGCGCGTGCAATATTTGTTGTATAGTTATCTGTTGATTAGGACACTTTTTTAAAACCTCTTTCTGCAGTTTATAGTCTGGAGCATCATATTTAACTATGTTTTGTAATGATTTGACTTATAGGTAAGTTTGATTTATGTAGGAAAGCTGCTGTTGCTCCTGGCATATGCCTGCTGTGGATGGAAATGTTGAGTTGTGAATTCTTTTTCATTTTCCCTGTAATAAGAGCAATACAAACTGAGTTGTACCTTTGAAAAATGGAAATATAGTTAAAGTTTATTATATATTATGTGTTACCCCCCCCCCCCCCGCCCCTAGCCGCGCCAGCCCCCCCCCCCCCACCCCCCCCCCCGAGCCCCCCCCTCCCCCCCTCCCCCAGCCCAACGCCCGAGACCCCCCCCCCCGTTGCCACGCCTCGCCCCCATCGCCCCGCCGCCCCTCCACCCTCCCCGTCTCTCCCGCCCCCCTCCTCCCGCCGACCGGTCATCGGCGAGCACCCCGAGCCCCCCCGCCCCCCCACCCCCCCCCCCCCCGCTCCCACCCGCCCCCCCCCCCGCCCCTGACCCAGATTTGCCCCCCCCTCCCCCCTCCCAACCCCCCCCACCCAACCAAGCAAGAAACAAAAGTTTAACCCGCCGCCTACCCACGGCAAACACACAGGCAAACAGATATGCAAAATAATACATAGCTGGTATGTTAACTCTTTAGGTTCT